GCGTGAAATCACCTCCTCATCGTGTTTGTAAAGCTGATGACGTCTTATTTGATGTACCAACGTGCCTATTCTCAGTTTGGTACAAATACACTGCTAAGTGTCGAAGGGATTGTGTATTACGTAGACAACAACTATGCGATCTTGAGTACTTGTACATGTCCAATACACTATTACTAACCACAAAAAGTATTGTACTGGCAACTCGGAGCCGGTTAGCACTTAAATATTTTTCAGGTAAATAGTTTATAAATTTGACCTAAGTTGCCCTCGGATAACCTCTAGGCTACCACAATTTTTATTTTTGTGCCTGGAATATTTTTGTCTCTCAGCTACACCTAATAAAATGAGCTTAGTCGGAAGCACACTGAAGAAAAGCATCGTTCTTGTAAGCTACTGGTGGACCAATTTCGACCGGTGACTTAATTTGACCTGGCACATGTGGGAGAACGAAAGTGGTCGAAATGAACTCTCTGCAGTCTTTATGCTCATTTCCGTGCTCTCAATAGCCGTATTGACATGTTAACATAGGTTTTGACTGCATCCATTGGACCAACCGTTTCTGACCTTCCGTGGCCTCTGATGACTTCACGTTTGACCTAGCGTCAAAAATTTGGGCTGCATTCTCCATGATTTGGCGAGACGTTTAAAATGGCATCTTTGTTTTTCTCATACAGCATCTGGCAGTTGGAGATCCCGGGGGAAGTCAACTCCCACCCGGCCGGACGCGGTTGTCCCAGACCCGCGGCCGAGCGCGGTTGTCCCAAACCCCGGCCGGGCGCGGTCGTCCCAGACCCCCGGCCCGGCGCGGGTTAAGTGTCCAAGCGTGCTCCTACAAACACACAAAGTAAACGCGCCCGTTAATACAGTGTGTGTGCGGACCAGCAGCATCGGGTGATTTTGTGCGATCTTACAGCGGTCCCGTGGCGAGTTATTCTAGTAATATGTGCTTCGACTCGGCTACCGACCCTCCGTGCGGGAAAATGCCTCCAGATGGGTTTGGGTCAAGCCGATGAACTTACCAACCATGTGATTTCAGAGAGGAAAGACATCCTGAACAACGTTCAAAAAGTCATTAGCGACATGTGTAGGGAGAAAAGGGTGAAAGCCACTGAGATCATGTCAAGCATAAAACAAGTGGCTGATGGAATCCTCGAGTTGTTGACAAATGAGGAATTTTCATCGTTTAAGAAGATGCTCGTGAAACTAATAAGAGTTCAGATACGGAAGAAGCCGCAAAGCGAAAAAACACGCAAAAAGACAGGTACAAACAAATGGTCAATGCGTGATCTTTATCACATCACGGTGTAGCTTAGAAACTTGTTGGCATTGCCTGGTCCAAAAGTTCAGAAACAAGGCACTGTCGCTGTCGCCAAGAGAGTCCAGTTACCGCCATCGAGCAAGCTTTCTGTTAGATCAGCCTGGCCGAGGGGATGTTCTTCGGCCCAGTGCATCGACGCCAGACGCTGGGATCACAGACGCAGGAGGAAAGGTGCCTACACATTACTGTCCGGAACATGCCACGGCTTGCAACATCTGCAGCGCGCAATCCGTTCCCATCATGTTCAGAATACCAGGCACGACTGGATCTCAGGAGTTTTCCCCTGCCATCAGTCGCTTCAGCAGAACGGACGAGTGAATTTCGTCACAGTAATGGGGAAGACCTGACCAGCCGTGCTGCCCCACAGCGGACATATATGGTATACAACTGGAAACGTCCATCCGCATAAAATGAAACGAGGTGTTGCCAATGGGCTGCATTTTGACTGATGACAGGACCTATCGCTTTAAGTTTGTTGCCCAGGATTCGTTGCCCATGATAAGCGAGGCGCTTGTCGTGGTTGTTTATGAGCCGCCGGGCGGCGCATACATTGCTCCTTTTATGCCGCAGTTAGGAAAAGCCAAACACGTATGTTTGGAGCTGAACTAAGACGCTCGTGTGTATGAAGCGAATGTTCTCGTTCTCGGATACGACGCAGCAAAAGCAAAAACGGGTCACCAAAGGCCGTCCGTCGTCTGTTCAAGCTAGAACATAAACTACCGGACCAAACCGGTCCGACCAGTCCGACCAGTCCGGACCAAACCGGACCAAACCGGTCCGACCGGTTCGTGTGTCACTTGTACGACAGCGAATTAAATCCTCGAGAGATGTTTGCGCAGTTAGACGTTGTACCCACCCCGGCAAACTGCCCTCGAGTCCAATCAAGAGGCCTGTGTCCGTGTCGCTCAACTTCCGCTACTCGTCAGGCTGCAAGCTATTCCGGGACATGTTGACGAAATATCCTGTAATGTCTACGCCCGTGTAGACATTACACCTCATGTTATTGAAGGTACGCGGATCTTAACGCTGACGAGGAGCAGAAAGAGCAGGACATCAGTAGGCTTGATGACACTCCTCATCTTTAGCGGCAAGCACTACGCACCAATCAGGCTCTGCATGGAGCAACAGCCGTAGTCCCGACACAGAATGTCGGTCCGTCGCGGACGTTGGTCTGCCGCGGACGTTGGTCCGTCGCGGACGTTGGCCGGTCGCGGACTTTGGTCCGTCGCGGACGTTGGTCTGTCGCGGACGTTGGTCTGCCGCAGGCGTTGGTCTGTCGCGGACCTTGGTCTGTTGCGAACGTTGGTTTGTTCGTTGATGGCTGTGCACAGACGCTCACTGGTTCGATCATTTTACAGCGCAGCGTTGCCATTACTGCAGTTAAAGTCAGTTGAAAAATTAGCATTAGCAGGTTTTGGGTCGCTCTTCGTAGCCTATGGCCCGTTCAGAATTCAAGGGGAGGTATCACCACATGATCTACCTTCTAGATCCGCCACTGGGTCGAGCAGCTTAGCAAATTGGGCCCCGACAACAGCGTAGGGCTCTTCAGAGCAAGTTAGAAGCACCCAAGACACAATGTTCAGGGCACCGAGCGACTGAGTGCGCTCGAGCAAGTTAACGCATGGAGCACGCGACAGGAGCGTAGGGCCCTCCATTCAACTAGAAGACCCAAGACCCTACGTGGAACGACCCTGAACGATGAGTTCGAGCAAGTTAACTGATGGGAAACCGAGAACAGGGTAGGACCATCCAAGCAAATAGGAAATGCCCGAGATCGACTGACGCAGTGGGCCCTCTAACGATCGAGTATGCCCGAGCAGGTTATGCTGCTTATGGGGACCCCGGCTATAGTGTGTTAAGCCTCTCGGGTGAATCAGTGGAAGCCCCTGATCGACAACAGTATCCCGGCACATTAGCAGGCAGTGCCCCAACAACGGCGTAGTACCACACGAGCAAATGAAAAGAAGTCAAGGGCAGCATGAAAAGCTTCTTAAGGATAGGATTGACCTTGCGAGTAGACACATAGGGCCCCCAGCAACAGCGTAAGGCCTCTGGACAGCCTGATGCCCCTTAAAACCTCCACAATCACCACTCTCTCAATCAGAGAACAATTATTCTTGTTTGCTCGTGGGTCCGTCACTTTCGATTGCGACTCTTCCTGGTTGCTTGGAGGCCCAGGAAGCCTTTTTCTTCCCGGCCGCCGTTTGTTGCGCTTGGGGTAACAAATGCGTCTGTTCGGCCGGCCATGGCCCTTCGGAGCCTACCGTGGGCTCCTTCGGTGTCCAAGAGAGGGGGACATGACCTCGTCTCCCTACTCTGGATCCACCACTAATAATGGATCCCGTGCAATTAAAAATAGGCCCTCCAGTCAATGATAGGTCATCTACAGGTCAGAATAGATTCCATACGGATCACAATGGGCCTTCGTAGGATTAGAATGGATGCACTTCAGGTCAGAATGGGACCTGCACGAACGAGAACGAGTTTTCGTTAGCCCCGAGTGGCCTCTTGGCACGTCAGAATGGGCCCTCTACAGGTCAGAATGAGCCATGTACTGCCAATAATCGCTTCTTAACAGACCAGAATGGACACTCTTCAAGCCTGAATGGGCCCATTTACATGCCAGATGAACCCACCACAATCAGCAATAGGCCTTCTTCAGTCAAAATGAGCCGTCTACAGCCCAAAATAGGCCTCTACGGAATAGGCCTCTGTGGACTTGGCCGTCCACAGTCAATAATTGGCTTTCTATAGTCCAGAATAACCCCTCTGCAATTTCACAATTGACCTCATTTGGCCAGAACGGGCCCTAAATAGGCCCGTTCTGAGCCAATAAAATGTGGAGAGCCAACTCTGGTATGGGCCCTAACAAATCAGAATTGGCTCTCCACGGGCCTCCAAGTGAGATGGAACGGGGGGGGGGGGGGGAGGCACGACCCCCCAGATTTCATTCAAGGTGGAGAAACGAGTGTGCTCCCACTATCTCCCCCCTCGCCCCCCGGCTCCCGCGTCCTTGCCAAAGTAATATTCGTGTGTGAAGTGCGTCAGCACAAAATTTCCCGCGCCGATGGCAAACGGCAGACAGCCAGTTCAAGCTGCTGATAGCCGGCGTCGATCAAACACCGCATTTTGTGGCAGATGACAGTTCTTTGAGCAGTTCTACTCGCTATAACGGACATGCGTCTGATAGCGAATGACTAGAATGGCACCGGGGCCGATGATTAAAATGTGCGCAAAAACATGCCAGTAAGGAGAAATATGGAGCACCAGGAAAATGCGAACGAAAAAATACCACCACGGAAAAAAATTCAAGAGCACCGGGAGAAAAACCCGAAACACACTCGCGTGCAGCGAACATGTACACAACTAAGCAGCTAACGACATCTTGCGACGAATTTGCCAACTTCAAGAAGAAGACAAGTAGATTTAGGATTAACTCTGTTTTAGACTATTTTGGGCTAAATTTACTTATCATTTTTGGGGCAGCTTCCCAAATCATTTTTGAACATCACAGTTCTATAAAGAAACACATCTGTTTGTCAAGAAACCGGAAAAGGTTTCCTTGTATCGGGGACACCGAGTGCATCGAGCCTGTTGCTTGCTTTCTTGGCGCAGGTGTTCCAAAATATTGTGCAATAGACAAAACCGAGGATGCGGTGCAGTTTGCATTGAGAGCGGGAAGGTGGTGGCCGGGGTCGCGACAGATCTGGATTTTATCTGTTCGGTTAGCAAGATACACCCTCTTTTGTTGGTCTTCTGTTAAAAAAATACCATGTTTAGAGGTTTGACAGCTGCAGATAAAAATGGGCTTGGGATTTCCAACATGCGGCATGACCCCGCTCTCCTTGCATTGCCTTGTCGTTCCTTGCCGACAACCACACTTGTACTTCTGGTTCCTCACGCACTGTGATGCTTAATTTTTGATGGGTACTTAGCATTTATTTAATCCGGTTCATTTGTTATTTGAGCACACTTGGCTTGCAGGTTGCAGACAAATGGGACAAGGATGAGAGTATCTTACTTAAAGAGGCATTAACCCTGTATCTAGATGGCAGGGCTTGACGGCATCTTGCTGTGGAAGTGGTGCCAGACCAGTCTGAAGAAAATCAACCCACTATTTTAGCAGCCTATGTGACATAGGTGTGAATAACTGGGAGCATGCTTGCTATGAACTTGGGCCTGGCCAAATCAATCTGAGTTCTCAGATTGCTTTTGTTTGTAAAAATTTTTCAGGGTAGTTTTGGTTGATGTTTCCTGAGTAGCATCATAATTCCATGAAACAGTCTATTGTGCAAACCACGCATCAAACATGGCTCTCAGGTTAACAGAATACATGTGCTAAAATTAGCACAGGGATCTTGCTGCTGCCCTGTAAATACCCAGTTTGATATGTAGGTTTTGCTACTGGTTGCAAGTTGCTGCACCCACTCTCTGGGATGGGAACTGGGGAAAACAGGTGTACTGTCTGAGCCACCAATAGTTTTGACATGTGCTTGGAGGTTCCTTGGCTCAAATTCCATTTTTGCCATGGCCACTGCTTAACCCTGACACTGGTGCTTTGCAGGAGTTATACCACAATTGGCCTTATGTTCTTATTTTGTAAGCAATGCAATGGGCTGCTCTAAGCCAGTCTTTCATGTCTCCACCATTGTTTTCAGACTGGCATTAAGTTCAGCTGATGTGAAGGTCAATACTAACCATGTTTAAGGGCATAGCTTAGTTGGTTTCCCCTGTCTCATTTCCTTACAAGACTGCCATTGCTGCCTTTAGGCCACCATACTTTCTTGAATTGTCCTAGATAGCTAACAGTCTGAATTATATGTGTTGCCAGCCCCCAGCCTTATATGACATTCTTGTGCTAGCAATTAACAAATTGTTGACTAGGCCTTCATTATGCATTTTAAGCCTGCTAGTGAAGGATTGGGACCAAACTTAAAAGGGTGGTCATAGTGTGTGTCTTTGTTTTACCAATTTTGCTGCACTGGATGCTTTTGCCCAGGCCAGTCTGTCTACGCATAAGTACAAAGTACATTTGTTTAGAGGTTCTCAATATTGTTATGCAAGTTGAGTGCAAATATATATCCCTTAACATAGCAATTTCCAGAAGACATGCTTAAACCTGCTTGCTTATAATACCTTGTGAATATATGTGGCTAACAGTAAATCTCAAACTGTGGTTTGATACCAAATTGTACTGAAATGGTAGGCATGCAGCCTGGTGTTTTCCTTGGTAATGGTGACATCAGCATGCTGCAGGTCAGATTAGATCACCCCCATTCTGCTGACCAGTCTTTTGTGGTGCAACTGTAAACTGAAAACTTGTGAAGTTCACAAACCTGTAAAACATCAGAGCAATAAAGCATTTTGCTCAGTATGGCTATGTGGACAAAACCTTCAATGTGAAAACAAAGTTAAGAAAATTATGTCTTGGAGAGAGCATTTAACAGCATGCTGTGACACTCAGCAGCAGATTGCAATGACATTTATTTTCCTACTGGCAGAAGGTTATGTTTTGGTTTTGCTTTGCTGGTATTGGTGTGATGTTATTATGTTGATGTCCTAATCAAAACAATAGTACATCTGGCCATAAGAGTGTTGAAGGTGAGAATACTTTGAGAGGTATTTTTTAATGCTTTTAGTTTACAGGACTCCAATAAGTACCCCCTTCTTCATTGTGAACTATTACAAGTTGAAACAAATAATTAAAAGTTACATGTATTGTGCCACAAACTCTAATGTTTTGGATCATAACAGATCTGTGATGAACCTGTTTCTTTGCTGCTTAGATCCATTTTCACTCGCAAAATGTGCTCTTCACAATTATCTTCAGCATCACCAAGTTATGTTGTGCTGTAAAGTATTAGTAATAGCTGGTTTTCAAGACAGTGACATATTTATTGTATCTAGTTCCCATGTCAGCTGGTTCTCAAGGCAGTGGCATATTGATTATGTCTAGTTCCCATGTCAGCCTCGAAGGATAAAACAAAACATTGATTCATAGATAAATTGTTTTCAACCAGAGGCAGAAGGGCACCACAGTTTGCTGATGGGCCTTGGAATTTTGTATTTTTTTCACCAGATTTCCATAGCTTACCTTGCACTATACATATCAGGTTCCCACAATCTGCAACCGTTCATGTTACCAGGAATGGCCCACGACAGAATAACTACGGCAGCCAAACAGCTATTGTAGATTCGCTGAATATGTAAGTTTTAGGGCTTGGCAGTGCCTGCGACGATTTTACGCCCATTTAAGTGGGTCATGACAAAAAGTCCAATTGAAAAGATCGAATGAAAAAGTGGAACGAAAAATTGAATTACATAAATTTGACCGGAATAAAAATCAAATCGGAAAAATGTCGAAGGACAAGGAGTGTAAAGGAACAAAAGTCGAACGGCAGAAGTCGACAGGAATCCGAGTTAGATTGGAAAAAGTGGGAGGACAAAAAATAGAAGGCGATAAAAGCCGAACTATAAAAGCGAAAGTCGCATGGAAGATGTCCAAAGGCTTTAAGTCGACAACGGTAAAAGTCGACAGGAATAAGTCGAAACAGGAAAGCCAAACGACGAAAAGCCTTGAGGGACAAAAACCGGTAGGAAGTCCACGGGGCACTGCTGAATGCTTATGACACACTCGTTGCCGTAAACACAGCTTGGAACGCCGAGTACTGACGGCATACTCATTTTGTTTTGCTTCATAACCTCGTTTACCCGTGCCCGCTGGTATAGTGAAGGCTGAAAACTCGCGTGGAACCTCTTAACACCAGCGAGCTGGAGCCCCTCGGCCCCGAATTCTAAGAAAGGAGTGGGTGGAATGCGTGGAGTAACCCATTTATTGGCCTTTTAATGGGAGGATGCCTTGTTCGCCCCCGCTCCGCCGACCGCCTCCCCAACTCACCGTGAAATTACGCCCCTGATTGAATGACCAGAGACTTCCTTCTCGCTGATATCAAGCGCCACAGTTTTATGTCTGGGACCCTGATTGAATGACCAGAGACTTCCTTCTCGCTGATATCAAGCGCCACAGTTTTATGTCTGGGACTTGCCCACACCACGTGTGCGTTTTAGGGTTTCATACTGCACCCTTAGGCTCACTGCTGACACAATCACACAGCACACACCGTGTGCTGTCTTCCGCCGGCCCTGCATACCCCGCTTCCTTTCCTTTCCTGAACTTTAACACGCGCTTGGGTACGGGTCACACTGACCCCCGAAGGTTTTTTCTGGAATGGTTTACGAACGTCAGGGCGTAGCCACGCAAAATTTTTCATAGCTGTAGATAATTGAATAGCGGATAGTTTGGCATCGAAAATGTGGATATACCTTCTAAGGTCATTGATCTGTGGCAGGTCAAAGTCGGGCCACGGTATCAGCAAAGTCATTTTTCTAGGGAATCGTTCAATCTGGCGCAACAACGGAGTGTTTGACGAAGCCACACATCGCTGAGATACTTTCTTAGGCAACACAACAATTGAGTAAACAAATTACATTGACCTAGGGTCATATATGAAGGTCAGACCAACGTCAAAGGCAACCTGCTTTATTATTTAGGGCTTGCCGTATGAAGTAATTTCTGGGACTCATTTCGAATTCATTGATCACAGGGACCGCATTATACGTATTCCATGGACTTCTTAAATGTCAACATTTAACACCACAAGTGTGGTGTTGCCCGTTGCTGGACACCCAATGCGGCAACCCCACATCTTGAAGTGTCTCTGGATAGGGCGATAGAGCTGTGGATCTAAGTTGTTTGTTGCTGACTTTGGTACCACATTTTGTCAAAGTACCGCATCAGTGAAACCCGCCATTATCTGGTGACATATAACCGGTTCCTGACTTCTAGCATCTCGAGGGAAACACGGCTTACAGTACCTTAACTAACGTCAAAGTTTCCCAACAAGCATCGCGAATATGACATGACCGCAGATCGTTGCAGAGCACCGTGTCTAGATTTCCCAGTCTCGACGCATGCAGCTTGGCGTGGGATTTCTCGGCTCAGCCCCCCCCCCCCCCGCCCCCACGTGGGCGGTCGTGCGGTGGTGCAGCCCTGCGGACCCGGTCGCCCTGGCCGGGGGTCCGCAGACGGCGGCGGCGGCGGCGGCGCGCTCCGTCAGCCGCGCCGCCGCCGACGCTGAGCGCCTCGCCCGGCAGTGATGGCGTCGGTAGGCGTGCGGACGGCTCGCGGCCGCTGGCCGGCGGCCGCCGGCGTGCGGCGTCTCTCGGATGGCGCCGGGCCGCACCGTTCGCAGCCGCGGGAGGAGCGCGCCCGTGTCCACCACATGACCAGCTACTACAATCAGTCGGCGATCGACGCGGCCGCTGCCAAGGTGGGTGCCGGCCCGCTGATGGGACCGGGAGGTCGCTCCGAGAGCGGCTGCCTGTGGGTCGGCTGATGCCGGCGGCCGTCTGCTCGCGCCCGTCATCCGGGCGGTGTCACGTGGAGCGTCAGGCGGCTGTCTGTGGACCTCCACTGTAACTGTCGCGTTATCTCTGCCGGCTGTTTTCTGTGTAGGGGCACGAGACACGAGGGGAGGGGAGGAGGTTGGGGCCGAGTCCCCAAGTTCGTGAAACTTTGACAATGGCCGTAGGATCGTTGATCGGAAATAAATGACAAAAACGACTATCGTCCCTCCCCCGCTCTCAACGTGGACAGCGGAAGAACTTCCGCTTTCTCTTGCTATCTGTGCAATGTTTGCACGATCGGCTAGGTAATCGTATTGCGTCACACTTGCCTGCCTCATTGCCCAACGTTTACCGACCTTGTGACCATCAGGTTACAGTCTTTCGAAATGAGAACTGGTTTCGTTGTTAAACATCTGTACATTAAGCCTGCAGTTTATCGTAGGAGTCGGCAAGATGCACAACCAGGCATAGACACAAGTTGACCGAAAGCATTTCATTTGCATGACCCTTTTATGCAAAATCGCGCGAGCGAGTTCACTTTACAACACAAACGTGACATGTCTCCAAGTTTTGCTTCATGCTTCCGTGGATCAAATCACATCCACGTAGAGTTTGAAGCGTATATGTGCACTCGATATACCAGCTCATTCCATATGTGTGCACTCCGGTGGGCGGAATCATGTTCACACACGCCCGTTGGTCCTTTTGCTCATTAAAACGATCTACTGCAGTCGCACTGCCCACAATAACGATGCAGGGCTTCCCCATCCGCAAAGTTTCACCGTCGACAACGACCTGTCTGATTGAGCCGGGTCTCACGGTGCCGGTTACTCTGAATGTAGCTTAGCAGGATGGCGCGGCTCTGGTGCAGAAATCCCAGGGCTCGGCGCGTTTGCCATGCTATTTGGACGTCGCGACCATAAGTCAGTGCTGGCGATGCCGGCCTCCGGCGTGATGCTAACGACAGCCCCTCCCCCTCCCATCCGCAGCCTTCGGTGCGCCTGACCCCGGCCACCATCATGTACACGGGCAAGAGCACTGACGAGGCGCACCTGATGGTGAGTACCGTGGCGGCCACCGGCCCGGCGCTGTATCGGCTGGCTGCGGACGGCGACTGGCCCTCTTTTGGAGGCCGCGTGCCATGGCTGGTCGTCGTAGCGCCTCTGACATGCTGTGGTGCAGCGTTACGCTAGGACGGATGTTATGTCGGGTCGGTTGTCACTTTCGTTGGTCGGATGCTCGGTGCGAGTGAGTGACTACCCCACAGCACCGTCAGCGTCCCCCGCCCCCGTGCGATAGTGTGCAGCTGCGGCGGCTCTCCCACGCGCATCCGGTGCGGCCGCGCCGCTCGGGCCGGCCCGGGCCGGCGGCGCGCCGTCCGGCTGGCCGGCCACGCCGAGCACGTGCTGGGCGCGTGTCAGCGATCGATGACGGCGCCGGCGCCAGCGCGCTGACGCCGCTGTCGTCGAGCGGCGCCCGGGCCCGGCTGACGGCGGAGCGGGGCGACGGCTCGCTCGAGTGGCAACGTCCCGGCCGGCGGGCTGGGCGGCGGGGGGGGGGGGGGGGGGGCAGCACTGAGGGATTTGATGTGTCATTCGTGGCAAATATGCATGCGCATGACACCAACATGCTATTTGACTTAAAAACTATATTAAGGTACCAATATGTGTTGCCGCGGCAGCCGTTTTCAAAGCCACAGTTGCTAAAAGTCACCATATTTCATTTACTTCAAGGCCTAGAGGTCTGGCTCATTGCAAGAAAACCTCTAAGAACAGCCAAAACACAATTTTTTGTCAAAGATATCAAATTCTCGAAGTGCAGAACAACATCCTCATGGCTCGTTAGAAGGCACTTCAACAACACATGACTAACACATTGCTACACTGCAAACGCGCACTTCATTAACAACCTTCTCCACTGCATACACAGAAGTGCCTGAACGGTGATTGGCTACGCCTGCTGAGTGTGACTGCAATGCTATCAAATCACAGAAACCGTAACGCTGCACACCTTATGGCAAGAGAACGCGATCCGGTGAAACAGCAAGCCAAAGCGATGCAGGCAAACAATTTGTTTTGACGCGCGTTTACTATTGGCCTCTATCGTGAAAGATGAGTGCGCCATACATGACTTCACGCCCAATGTTTTGTCTCTGAGCAGGTGGTTAAACCTGACTGCTGACTAGCAAGTATGACCTAATTTATAAGCCGCGTAAACGTCTTTGTTGGACAGCACTGAGACACAAACACCAGAGTCCATATTTTTGCATTTAACGAGTTTACGCGCCTTCGCGTGCTGCTGCAATGAGGGCGTGCTTTAACTTCAACCAAGTTGAAGAATGCTTTCACGAAACCATATCTAAGCATGGCCTCCGGGCTATTCATCCTCTCGTTGCGCCGTTCGCCCACAATTAGCCCGCGTCCGGCCGGAGGGGAGTTGACTCACCCCTACGGTTTTTCGAGCACAGGTCAAAAACGAACGCTTGGAGCGGCATGAAATTGTTCTGACCTGTTCATCTATTAATTTTGTGTCATTTGTGCAAATTTTAAGTTTTGATTTTCCAGTATCATTGACATAGGTCAGATCAAGTAGGTCAACTTCTAAAAAACTTTGACCACACATACCTCTTTCTGGGTCGTTTTCCTTTGTTCAAACCTGGTATAGTAATATAAATTGATAGTACCTACAGTTTTCATATTTAAGATTTTTGGGAAAACGCGAGGTCATTGACCTGAAATCATGTCAACTGTTGCCATTTTTCGTAAATAGTGCAAGCTTGTGCGTTTTCTTGTGTAGTTTTGTTATGAGGAAAAGAGTAGCAACTTACATGCACAGCCATCACATGATCACAGAGAACATGATCTCGGCCCATGTCATGACCTATCTCTGTGGTTACCTTCTGCGAAACGCATTCCTAGCTCAAAATAGGCAGTTTTTAGGTCATTTGGCCGCAGAGTTTGAATACTCCACTTAAAGCGTGTTGATATAGAATCATAATGCATTTTAAGGTCACAATAGGCCATGCAAGGTCGCATAAGGTCACAAACGTTCAGTGGCCTATATTGTCAGTAGCGCAGAGACGGGGTGAACGGGTGCGACGCCTGTAACCACCTCCTTACCATTCTTGTGAAGCTGATGACGTCTAATTTCAGGTACCAACGTTCCTGTTCTCAGCTTGTTGCAAATACATTGCCAAGCGTCGAAGGGGCTGTATATAATACAGACAACGGTTATGCGATCTTGAACAACTGTAGATGTCCAATACATTATTTCTGTCTACAAAATAGTATTGCACTGGCCACGTAGACCCGGTTAGTCTCTAATTGTTTTCAGGTAGATGGTACGTAAATTCGACCTAAGTTGACCTCATATGATATCCAGGTCACCGTTAGATGACGTTGTTGTGTCTGGAATGCTCTTGTCCCACAGCTGCACCTAATAAAATGAACTTAGCAGCACGTCGTGAAGGGAAGTATCCTTTCTGCAGGCTACTGGTGGACCAGTTTTGAACGATGACCTAAACTAACCTGACCTACGTTGGGAACAAAAATGGCCGAAATTAACTCCCCACGGTTTTTGTGCTTAGTTCCGTGCTCTCAATAACCGTCCTGACGTGTTAACATAGGTTTTAACTACATCCACCGGAAGAACCGTTTTTGACCATTCGTACTCTCTGGTGACCTCACGTTTGCCTTGAGGCGAACATTTCGGGTGCATTCTTTGTGATTTTGCGAGAACTGCGAAACGGTATTCTTGTTTTTCTCATAAGACGTCTGGAACTTGGAGATCCCATGGGGGGGGGGGGGGAGTCAACTTCCCCCCGGCCAGGCGCGGTCGTTTCAGACCCCTGGCCGGGCATGGGTTAAGTCATAAGTTCTGTGACCAAAACATCTGACTTCACATGAAAGCCTAGATACGTTATAACATTGGGCCAGATTATATTTATGATGCGTTTGCCTTGTAGATTTTAACGTGTCCGTGTCTGAATTTACCTCTTTACCAACTCAAAACGTACCCTGCAGCAACAAAATACTGTCATTCTACATGCCAAGGTGTTCATATGTGGTCGTTTCACGTGAACGATGCTGGAGAAGAACTGCGTCGATGCCTTAAAGTGATGTTTCCAAGGTCGTAAACAGCTGACAACGTCGACCAGCCTTGGTCGTGCTCTTGGCTGTGCCGAGACCGATCTGTGTGCGCCGCAATCGTGCTTCGCTTGGTTCAGATCCATTAAATTTTAATATTCATGGCTATACCCTTCATGCCAATAACTATGGTTTATCTCCACATCAAAGGGGCTCTGCACTTTATGTTGATAGTTATCTTCTGCATCGTGATGCCCACGTTGCAACTGAACTTAGCGTAACTGCCATTAACGTTAAACGTGCACAGCTGGGCCCAACACTTTTCTCTTTACCTCCATCCTCAAACAAGAGGTACGCTTGACCAACCTTCTACTTTTTCAACCAAATATCAGCTCCCTGTATGAGGCTAAGTGACTTTAATGCGCATCAACAAGCCTGGGGATGCACCAGCACGCGACCTCGCGGACACCTCGTCGACCCATTTTTCACTGCGCATCGTCTCGTCCTTCTCAATGACAAAAGACCAATAAATGCACACCACCACGCAGGCAACTTCACATATTCCGCCATTGGTCTTTCACTCACGTCAGCCCCCATCGCGCCGTTCTTCACTTGGCAAGTCCAGCCAGACTGTTTAGCGACCACTACCCTATTCACATCGCGCTTGAAATGCGCTCGGGTCGATCTCATCATCATTTCAACCCCCGCTGGAACGTCAACAGAGCAGACCGGCTAGCTTTTCAAAACTTAATAGACCTCGCTTACTTACCCTTCTGGCTCCTCGCTCCCCTCCCTTTACTGACTACCTTCAGACCACACTTGCCTCAGCTCACCAACACATCCCTCATACCCGTTGTTCACCAGGGCGCAATCATGCTCCCTGGTGGAACACAGAGTGCCAGCCGACCATGGCAAGAAGACGCAGGGCGGAGCGCGGCCTCAGTCGCTGTATCTGCCCGGTCAGTGTAAATGCCTTCCGTCTGGCGCGTTTGCAGACACAGATCATCTCAAACACACCAGAAAAATATCATGGGAACAGTTTTCAAATACTTTTAATCGATCTACGCCGCGCTAAAAAAAATATGATCGCTGTAAAATGTTTTAATGACCGACGTTCCTCACTTCGCGCATTACCACAGTCTGAAATACAAAATGTGCAATGCGCCACACCTTTAGAGGTCGCCACACAGTTTGCCAAACATCACGCGCAAGTTTTATCCCGGAAACAATACGCAATACACATCACTGCATTTCTGAACGACACCCTCTCGACTTGTAACGTTGGCACAGACGACATCAAAACAAATAATGCGCCTTTTACGCGTTATGAGCCAAATCTTGCCATCAGCAAAGGTGGAAATGCTTCTGTTGACCCTGATCAACTTGCATATCTCTTCTTCAAAAGCGTATCTGAAACTTGGCTTGCAAATCTCCTTTCAGCTTGGAACGATGTTTGGCTAAAGAACACTTTTCCCCTACTTGGCGCTCTGGCATTATCATGCCCATTCTGAATCCCTACCAGCCTCCGTCTAATCCCTTTGGTTTTCCACTTATCGCTCTGGCTCGTCGTGCATCCGAATGATTTGAACGCATAAGAAATGGCCCGATCAGGCTATATCCGAATTCAATCACGTTCTGTCGCCACACCAGAACGGCCTCCGGCCAAGACGGTGCCCTATGGATAGCCTTTTGCATCTTACAGACAGCATTCAGCGCGGTTTTGAAAAGAAAGATGTCACCAGTGCACTCTTCTCAGACCTAAAAGCAGCCTTTGACAAGATACACAACTTGGCTGTCTTAATAAAGCTGCATGAGATTGGTGTCCGACGTCGCCTTGCCAATTTTATTAAATATTTTTTTACAAACCACCCATTTTCGATGCGTTGCGGTAATGTTTGTTCTGAGCTGACTGCCCAGAACCACGGCCGCGCCAAGGCAGTGTGATATCACCTACCTTGTTTCGTTTAATGGTC